GGATGGATGCTTGGCCAGAATCTGATACTCCTGGTGTGAGGGCCACAAAGGTGATGGCCACCTTGGAGCTTGCTCTGGTGTGCTTCTCCTGGACGCTCTTTGCCAGCTGTCCTCACCTACCTCCCTCAGGTGTGATTTGCATTTCCCCTCCCAGGGGGGCCGGGGATGTGGCAGCAACTTCTCAGGGCTCTGCACAGTCTCTGCGCCCTCCCTGACCATGGGAGGTGTGGAGCAGGCCCCTTTTCCAGCACAGAGCTTGAGCGTGGTTTCCATGCCCTGTGCTAGAGTGGATTTGGGTCTCTGAAACTAAGATTTAATCTAAAGGAATTTGATTCAAGGAACAGTTCAGATGTGATGGCCGGGTTCACTGTGTGCACTGCCTGGCATGCACTCGGCACATCAGGTGCGTCCCGTGAGGCTTCTGTGCCGGCAGAAGGGATACTGGGTGACAAGGCTTCATGAACATGACACATTGCTTCTGAGACAGGTCTTCTTTTCTGCAGTCACGTGTGGCATGGTTAACGCACCTGGTGTTCACCAGTGTCATAGAAGCCTGAGTGTGAAAGAGAGGACTTGGCAGCAAGCTTGGGTCTGGGTCCTGCGCTCTCTGTTTTCTCTGGGGACCGGAGCCTGTTAGATGCTTCTAACAGGCACATGCCGGCAAAGTGTGGCAGGACAAAGTGCAGCTATCTCACCCTTTGAAGTGCCCCTCCCCAGGAAGGGTGATTTCCCTTCTTCCCTGCAGTCACCCTTGAGCACAGGATCAAGCAAGGGGTTTGCTGTGTTTTTGTCTTTCTTTAAAAAATAAAGAAAGGAAAGAAAACAGAGCCCCGTTTGACCAAGTACCCAGCTGGGAGGAGGGTATGTGAGGCTGACTGAGCTCTCCAATTCCCACTTCACCCTGGATCCCAATGATAGGTTGGGGTCCCCTGTCCCCGCATTCCTCTGGATTTGCTTCTGGGGGAGCATTTTAGGGCAGCTTCTGTGAGCAGAGTGGTGCTTCTGACCACCCCACAGCTGCCCTGGGAGCCCCACACAGAGGTGGTGGAGAGGGAGCTCACAGAGCAGCTTGAGCCCAGCCAGAGCCCTTGCTGCCCTAGATCCCTCAGCTACCCACAGGTGTCTTGCTGCTGAAGCTCTGAAGGTGAAGCTTTGGGATCTGGGCCACACCAGGAGTGTCTAAGTGGACAGGCCAATGCCCTGAGCAGGGAGAGCACCGGGCCCGGGAGCCCAGAGGGTACATCTGAGATGCTGTGAGGGGCAGCCCACCAGTGCTACAGAGGCTGGCCCCTGTCCTCTGGCCTTTGACTATACCTCTGCATTTCTGCGAAGGGTCCCTCTCTCACTGCCAGGTTCTGCCCCTCCACAGGATACCCCATTTTGTGCCCTCTGCTGCATGGGTCCTTTTGCCCAGTGGGTGCTACTCTCCAGAGGCCAGAAACCAGCACCGTGAGGAACCGTGCATGGTGGTTTTAAAAAAGAGCAGCGTGCAGGGCTGTGGCAATCCTGCTCCATGGTACCTCCCATCCTCAGGCTGGCGGACTCGGCAGGGCTGTGGCAATCCTGCTCCATGGTACCTCCCAT